ACCAGGAACCCCGGAGCCCTCCCGCCGCCCAGCCCCGCGCCTCACCTTGGAACTCGGTGTTGTCCAGCCCCCGGATGGCCTCCACGGCGTCCTCGGCCCGCTCCATGTGCACGAAGGCGTAGTCCTTGACGATGTCGCACTCGATGACGGGGCCGTACTCCTCGAACTTGGCGCGCAGCTCCAGGTTGGTGCAGGCGGGGCTGATGTTGCCCACGTGCAGCTTGGTGGAGGCCTTGCTCTTGTTCTTGCTGGCCTCCACGTTGATGCAGACGCCGTGCAGCTTGTGGTGGTGCAGGTTGCGGATGGCGTCCTCGGCCGCCGTCTTGTCCTCGATGTGCACGAAGCCGTAGTTCTTGATGATGTCGCACTCCAGCACCTTCCCGTACTGCTCGAACAGGGAGCGGATCTCCTGCTCCGTCGCCTCCCGCGGCAGGTTCCCGATGAACAGCTTCACCATCGCGACCCGCCTGCGCCGGACAGCGCCGCGGTGAGCCCCGAAACCCCCGAGAAACCCCTCGAGCCTCCCCAAAAATCCCCTGAATCGCCCCGAACCTCTGCGTGTGTGTGACCACAAACAGCCTAAATCATCCTCAAACACCTCTGGGGCTGTGCCCCCCAAAATACCAAATAAACACCCTGAATCCTGCTGTATGTGCCCCCAAATCCCCTGAAATATCCCAAATCTCTGTGTGGCCCTGGGGCTGTGCCCCCAGACACCCTAAATCCTCCTTAAATACCCCAAATCTCTGTTCCTGTGCCCAGGGCTGGCTCCCCAAACACCCCTCAAATAAAGCCTCCAAACCTCTGTGTGCGTCCCTGGGGCTGCTGCCCTAAAGACCCCAAATATTCTCAAATAAAGAACCCAAAATTTTGTCCCTGCTCATTCAGGGCATAGCCCCAAACACCCCAAATCCCCTCAAAAACCTTGAGCCTCATTGTGGCCCCCAGGGCTGAGATCCTTTCAAAGAGCACAGCCCCAAAAAACCCCAAATCCCCCCCAAATTTTGCTTCTGCTCCTTCAGGGCAGAGCCTAAAACACCCCAAATCCCCCCGAAAACAAAGCTCTGCTGTGCCCCTCCTACACCGTGCCCACAAACACCCCAAAATAACACCTTAAACCTCTAACACCCCAAAAACCACCTCAAACCTCTGAAATCCCAAAAATCCACCTAAATCTCCGACACCGCTTTTCCTGCAGGGCAGAGCCCCCAGACACCCCAAAACTCCGCGCATCCCCCACATCCCCACAGGGCAGAGCCACGCCCCGAACCCCAAAACCCCTCAGGGCTGAGACGCCCCCCAAA